GCGCCCGAGGAATCGCATCGGAACAGTGTAAGCGTTCAAGCAAACCACTTCTGAAGATGCAAGCCACTCGTGCTTGCGAAACGTCACGAAGAAATTCTACCGAATATCTATAAATACGCGTCCGTATTTATGCAACCGGTGCATAAATACGGACTGCGCCCGAGGAATCGCATCGGAACAGTGTAAGCGTTCAAGTAAACCACTTCTGAAGATGCAAGCCACTCGTGCTTGCGAAACGTCGCGAAGAAATTCTACCGAATATCTATAAATGCGCGTCCGTATTTATGCAACAGGTGCATACATTTTTATTTATTTAATTTTTATTAAAAGTTTCAAGGAATGGCCTCGAAAGTCTATCTCTTTTGATAGTAATTTATTTGTCGCGAAATAATATTGCAAACAAGGAACAGCGTTTAAATGAATGTAAATGATTAAACTAAAACTAACGCAGTCTCTAGCGAGAAATCAGGTCAAAAAAACAATCAAATGAACGGATGAAACAGCGTGAAAATCATCAGCAGAAAAGTGCTGTAAAATCAACCGTAGCTGTACGATGGATGCAACACGCTAAATGTAAATTTATATGCAGAAATATGAATATCATCGTATTGCTCTAATTGCCACGAGTGCGCGATTTTCAAACAAATCGTTGGCAAACTGAATCAAATTTCTTTCGCAACCTCCTGCTTTGAAGGCCAATAAATGCGGAACGAATCTGAATAGGAAAAAATTATATAAAATCTGCGAGTAATTTAAGTGTGTTTAACATCCCTTCCACTAAATAGAACACAGAACTCGCTAATTGTTGACTAATAATATATAACAGTAAAAGTAATTTATTAGTAATAACTGTTAAAAATCCTTATCTTGTCGTATTATGCTCGAAACCATTGTAGATGGATTTATTATCCTATTTTCATCAAGGAAAACTGATAACTAATAAGTGCCGGATTAACCGCGTTTAACCTTAGGAGATGAATGCAATGTGAAATTATCAGTTTGTTTCGCAATAACTGATGGTTTTTCTGGGTTTAAGCCGACGTTAAAGATAATTTTTCCCTAACGTTTATCAGAAGTGGATGCTGTGCTGAGCAAACTACCTTTTGGTTTGTTACATTATAACAATGTAGTTGATGCATTTTCTCGCTATTTATCAAAATTCAGGTTTCACAGCCTGAATGAACCATTTGGCGTGCGAAATAAAAAAAACGTTGTTGTCCGTTGTGCGGTCGTTTTTGCAGAAAATTAAAATGCATGAATTTATGCCATTCGTTGAAATAAAATGGAGATTAATGATGGTGCAAGGCGAAGCTTTATTAGTCAGGAAAAAAGGGACTTTTTCTTTTACCGAAACAAGGCTCGGGAATAAAGCATTTATTTAAGACACTTTATGCAATAAATTCTGCACATTTGCAAGGCCGTCTAGTCCACATGCCAAATAAAAATCCTTATGCGATATTTCGTTTATAAAACCCGTATTATTAATTTTTTTTTTAATAGAGGCCAAGTATGCTTAGACTTGCCTTGCTCTTAACTTGACTGGATACAACAAAGAGCCGCAAAAATTGGGTCAATAGATGAAAGAGATGCGACGTAGCTTTTTTGCCAGCCGATATTTTTTCAACTCAAAAAGAGGCTTGAGCTGCTGAAAAGCATCGCAAAAATCGTCTTGGTTGAAAAAAAAGGTTGAAATTGAAAGAACTTTTTCTGGTGTCCGTCGTCTTCCGACTAGGAAATCGTTACGAACCGAAAAATGCGGAAACGGATTTGGTAGTTTTATCTTTTTCACCTTGGAGCCGTTTCGTCGGCTGCGCATTTCATCGTTTCATTGAGAAAAAGAAACTGGTTGGACGACAAGAGGGTCATAAATAATGCATGCAAATTTGGGGCTTTTCCAGCAGATCATCTGTATGTTGATTTGAACGAGCAACAATAAGAGAATTAAAAATAAAAACATTTTTAACATTTTACAAAGAGCCAAAACATCACTTTTTTACGGGTTTTTGTAGCTTTTCAAGCAAACAAAAGTTCAACTTAATGGAGTCTGCATCTTTCTTATTTTCTGAGAATTCTTGCTTTAACAACTCGGAAGAACTGCAATGGTCTGTGTCTGCCTCGGAAGGGAAGCGGGATATGGAAAACGCCCCAAGGCTCCAAAAAGTTTCATTTTATCACTGCATCCAATAAAATGTGAAAATGGACAAAAATGTTTCTTTTCTGAAACTTTCTATGCCCGAGGGAATATTTTCTGCGTCCTTGACAGTATTCTTCGCTAATGGAAACCTTCGGCTCGACTGCTCTGTATACTCAAGTAATGATTTTATAACTCACTAATGACAATACACCTTACAAAAGCACTTAGTTACTTGCTTTGTCCATGTAGTCTGCAACTTCCTGGTTGAACTTTAAAGTGCAACTATTTAAAGTTATCAATTAGGCATCGCCCTGCAAGCTTTATTTTCAATGCGATTTTTAATGTTCCTAAATGTAGCCGAAAAGTAATTTCTTTGAAAACTAAAATCCAGCTTGAGATTGGTAGCGCTGAATTGTGTTTGATGGTTTAATTAAAAAACATTTGAAAGAAGAAAGTGAAAACGCATAAACCCGCTTTAGTTTCTTTCTCTTTAGAAATTCGCAAAGAGTCAGTCGGACACGCTCAACAGCCACAAACCATTGCAAACCGCTTTAAAAGCCCACTGCGCAATTAGGAAGTGATTAAAAAACCCGTACTATTGGCGACCAAAAAAAAACAAAAATGTCCAGATTTGAATAAAAAAATCTCTTTGTCTTTAAAGTTCACGGCGGTTGTTTGTTCGTCAAATTCATCGCAAGGCCGATATTGGCATGAGAATCGTGTCGTTCGTGTGTTGTTGATAGTCTTAACTCAATAAACAGCTACGACCACTGGTTAAGGAAATTCGTTAAGTGTCTAATTAACCTTCGTGTTACTGCCTGGTACTATCAATTAACTCCACAATAACACTACTTTGATACTAATTAGGACTTTATATGTCTTTTACGAGACTACGCCCTTTGCAAATTGTTGTCACTAGAATGAGCGAGGTTTTTACTCAACAGTTTGAGAAACGCACTGTTTTCTCGGGAGAACGTTTCGGCTATTATCTTAGCCCGCATCAGGAGTCAGGCGTTAATTTCCTAAATAAATCTGTTGCCCATTTTGTCTGTGAATCATCGGTTTTCGTTCAACGGTTTTAAAAAACCCTATTTTTTTTCGAGCCAACGGTTCGGCAATATTTTACTCATTATCAGCGATTTAACGCATGATGATGGCTAAACTATAGCAGAAACGTTGGTTCAAGAGAAATCAATATTTTCAAAAAGGGTTAGAAACAAAATCGTCTGTGAATGACGGAAAAACCCGTCAATGAAGAACAAATTTACATAGGGGATTAACGCATTAACCCTGATGAGGACTAACATATAATCGAAACGTTGACCCAATAACAAACAGTGTGAGTTTTTGCGCAAACTGTTGATTGAAAAATTATCTAAATAAATTTTATAAATGGTAAATTTTTGGTCAGCGATTTAAAAAAAAAACTCGTCTTTTAGCTAATTTTTCGGCTGTATTTTACTCATTATCAAGCGCTTAACGCATGATGATGGCTAAAATATCGCAGAAACGTTGGCTCAATAAAAAACACTTTTTAGAAACCAGTTAAAAAATAAAATCGTCTGTGAATGACGGAAAAACCAGTCAGTCAAAGACGAAATAAAGAACAAATTTATTTAAGGGATTAACGCATTAACCCTGATGCGGATTAACACATAACCGAAACGTTGACATTAACAAACAGTGTGTTTTTGTGCAAACGTTGACCGAAAATCGGTCTAAATAAGTTTTAGAAATGGTGGATTTTCGGTCAATAATTTAAAAAAACCCCGTTTTTCAGCTAATGTTTCGGCTATATTTTACTCATTGTCAGCGGTTTATCTCGTGATGACGGCTAAAATATAGCAGAAACGTT